ATATATATATATATATGCGGCGCACACGGCTTTATTCTGTCCGGGGGCCCAGAACCAACGTGTCCTAGCTGCTGACTACCCGCTGACAGTCCGCCCAGGCGCCTGTGCAGTGTCGGCACTTCGGCCATAACCTCTTTGTAGCTGAGGGTGATCGATACCTCGGACGCAGCGCACGGCGCGGGCTGACCCTCTGCATTCGCTCAATGCTCGGCGAGCATTCGATCGTCGAAGTGAATGCTATTTTGAGTCTATGGATGGCGTCGGCTTTAGAATCATGTTCTCGCCTGCCTGATTTTTCTCCACCTGTGTGACTCGCACTCGGAGAAATCGTGTTCCGGCATGATCAAGACAGCGTACTCCGCGCGCAACCCGCGTATCTGTCGAACACCTCAGGATCTATTTACTTAGTTGCGGGCGCAAAATGACCACCGCTGTCAAAGCGACCTTAAATCCAAAAATCATCATAATCAAACCTGGCACAATCGTGTTACCCGGAACGGACGCACGTGATGCAGGGTCTGCGCGTCACAGCCGGGACGAGCGCACCTGGTGTAGGGGTCGATGATCTGTCGGAACTCCATCTCCCGCTCCGCCTGGTCAGGAAACCTCCGCCGCCACGGGCGACGGCCGCCCTGAGCGCCATCTCTCGGCGGAAACTGGAACCTGCCGCGCACAGCACGGCACACTCTCAGGTAGAGAAGCCAGACCGAGCGTGACCAACCAGAATGACGCAAAAAGCAGCAGGTGCTTCCCAAGTCACAATAAATAATTAAACTAAGTATAAAAATAATAAATAGAACTATATAATAACTATAATAAATAGGGGTTCACGTCCCGAAGGCACACTAAGCTCCAAGTAGTTTCCGTGCGTTAACGTTTTGCGTCGGGTCTTCGCGAAATGGAAGCCATTATTTAGACAAAGCTCAGCGTTAGAACCGCGAGAGGCCCAACACCAAAACTGAGATTCCACGCCATTAGATTCCGTAGCGAGATTCCATGGCGAGGCGATCACTGGGTAATCGCGTGAGTCCAACAGCACGCCAGGGAATCACAGAGAGCACCCCAAGCGATCCCCGTGGGCAGCGAAGCGGCGCGCCGCCGCCACTGGCCCGGGAGTGTCGTACCCGGTCAGCTGCAGCACGTCCTCCAGGTAGAGCGCGTGCACGGGGAACGCCCGGCCAGGGATGTGGGCCGTCGGGCAGTCGGCGAAGTAGGCCGAGAACTCGGCCGAGTTGATGGTGGCGCTCATGAGTATGACCTTGAGATCGGGCCGCTGCCGCGGACGGGAGGCGTCAGCCGGGCGGCCGGGGTCACGGCCCGGTGAGGTGTGATGGTGTGGCATTCGGGTCAGTCACGGCACGGCACCGCACGCTCGTGCAGACACCGCTGCCGTGCCCGAACGTCGCGTCACATTCGGGAATGGCCTTATCCCACGACGGCGGTCGGCGGCGTGACTCAGTCGACCAAACTCAGTCCATCGCGCTATCCACAATTAACGACAGGTAACAGCACTAGTACTAATGGCATCACAACAGACCCAAAGGAAATGAAAACACGCAGACCCTGACCTCATCTACACTTTGATCTCCGTCACGCTGCGCAGGCGGACTGGCAGAGACGACACAAGCCGCGGATTGCACTACCGCAATCTAAACCGATTGTTACGGCCCATGCAATTTGGCGGGCCGTGCGGTACCAATAACGACTTGCACACACACGGAACGCCAACGAGCGAGTACCAGCGTGGTACATTCACCGAAAGACCAGCGCACAACACGGGAGCAAAGTGGTCCCAAGTCACGATCGCACCTCGGACCATCACAGAGGCCTTCTCCAATGGCCTACATCTTCCGCCCCTGTTAGCAAGTATCGCTACCCGGCCTCGACTCTGATTCCCATTCCGACTCAGCCTCTCGACGCGAGCCCACCCTTGCCCCATCCCAGCCCCCGGGCGGAGCGCGTCGTCGCCAGCCCCCACGAGCCGGGCCCGGCCAGTCCGTCGCCCGCCCGCGCGCGCCCTCTCACCACCGGCAGCAGGCCCTTGACGATTGTGACGAGGAAGTCTGCGAGCGAGTCGCGCTCGTGAACCTCGTCCACCACCAGGTGAGAGACGCGCGCCAGCACCGGGATCCGTCTGCAGCCGCTGCAGCAGCACGCCGGTGGTGCAGAACAGCACGGAGCCGTGCGGCCGCGGGTGGCGGCTGTCCGGCGCACGCGCCGCGGGCGGGCGTTAGTGTCGGGCACCGGGCAGCCGCCGGCTGACACGGTCAGGCACGCAGCCGGCTGTGTGGCGTGGGCTGCGACGGGTGTCGTCATGGCGCCCATGTGGGCTGTCCGGGTAGGGATGAGGGGATGTGTATGGCATGCAGAGGACGCGAACTCGAGCCTAGAGCACAAGTTTGATGGGCGGGCAATTGCACCACTTCAACACATACAAACCTGCCACACACACGGCGGGAGAAATGAGCGGCTGAGGGTAGTTGACATCGTGCATTGGGTTAAAACAGATGTGTTCTCGAAAATCTGGGAAGCATGCATAGGCGATGCGCGGTGCGGTACAAGGAAATATTAGCAACGCCACGATATGAAGTCAATATTTGAAGCGTCGTTGGCATTCTCAACGTTTCCTTGACTGGTCAACGAAACATTTATCGCTTGCTCTCTCATTAACAACGTGCTTCCGGGCATTCCTTGCACTCTGGCATAAGCATGCACACAACGCTGTCCAGATCTAATCGTCTTACTGCGCGTCATGACGTCAAAAGCGGTAGCTAACTTGGGCATACACATTCCCAGTCACGGATAATTGAGCACGGTCGCATTTCCAACGACCATAACGCTGCTAAGGCGCTGCAACAAGGGTCACTATTGTGTACAAACAATAGAGTACCAGAACCTCGCAGACAGTTGCCATAATGTAAAACGACTCAGAAGGCACCACGATTTGGTTTCACCAGCCAAGAAAAATGGAAACGAGATTTGATCAGAATGGATATGGATGTCAGCGATCTCGAGATAAATGATGCATAACGCCCGAGAAATTGCCTGTTTGCATGACTGACTGAGCATGTCGTTTCTCAAGAGAGCCACCGGCTACATGAGTCTGCAGTCTAACTTTTCGAAAGGCCGGAAAAAGTTCAGAAATAACATGATGTGACACAGCAGCTGTGTTGCTTATAATATATATATATATATATATATATATATATATATATATATATATATATATCCCCGGGCACTGTTCACAACGGCATCACACGTTGTTAAATACCCTTGCCCCCCCCCCCAAAAAAAAACGAACAAACAGGTGATCCTTTATCACGAGAAACAGATTCTTAAACATGATTTTCATACCCACGTTACCATCATGTCCAATACCAACACGGGAAAGGGCCGTGATGGTGCCAGAGGCAAGAGACCATTCACACAGCACGCGTTTACGCTCAGCCTGAGACCTCGATACGCACAAGCAGTGTCCAAAAACTTCCGACTTTGCGTTAAATAATACCCAGCCCACTAAGCAGAGATAATTTTGCACTTGCAATGCCGCTTCATGGAATGAAAGCTTCGTTTGGCATTATGGACTGATCGGGTCTGTCGAGAAAACTGGTTGTGATTTCAATGCATGCAGAGCTATCTGTCAGGGCTGGAGCACGTCAGAGCTTTGTGGCATGCTCCCCTTATTCAAATGGCATCTTGACCAGTCTTCCCGTCACACCGAAAAGTTCCGGAAGTTGTTTGACTTTAATGTGGACTCCAACGGAAGCACTCATGAAGTTGACGAACTTCCACCGCACGAGTGTTTTAATACACGCTGTTACGGTCAAAGACGACACATAATAGTGCGCAATGTTCCCGTTGCTTGGGATTTATGGAGGGGGAGGGGGAAAGTTGCTCTTTGGAAACAAAAGTTTCTGCTTGGCTTGTGAGAAGCAAAAATCCTAGTCCTGAGAGGGAAAAATGAAGCCGCAAAATTTCTTTGGCAGGCACGATCCCTTCAATGCCGAATGCGCAAACGTTTCAACCTCTGCTGCCAGTACAGGGCCTATTCTGACACCCCGAGTAAGCCTATTCTATGCAAGACTCGGGCGGCGGCCAGCTCACTGGTCGAGTCGAATGGCGTAGCCCACTTGTCCGCCGCCAGAGGCGCTGGCGCTGGTGCCGCGCTCGCGGGCCACGCGCTCGGCCACCGTTACGGCCGAGATGCGGCGCGGCTGCGTGCAGACCACGTGGCAGAGCGAGCCGCGCCCGGCCGCCGCCGCCTCCTCCAGCAGGTACTGCACCACCTGGGTGGTCTTGCCACAGCCTGCGGTGGTCGCACGGCGTCAGGTGTTGGTCAGGAGGTGCGGCACCGTCCTGAACGGCACGAGGGTGGTCTTGCCACAGTGTAGGGGACGGTCATGCTGTTGGCTCGACCTGGCGCACCAAACTACAAGGGCGGCTGCGCCACCAAACGGCGAGCGTAAACGCCATAAAACGCGAGACACGTTGGCTACGTTACACTCATTTTGGTCGCTTATACCGAACAACTTAATTTGATCATACTAATACCAGTTCACGCTAGCACGAAAACATGGTACGTGTTCCTTTACAAGCATACAAATCAGAAAAAAACATCCCTTCCAGAACAAGCCTAACAAATCCCCGTCCTGCAGAGCTACCCTCACCTGTCTCGCCACTGATGACCACCGACCTGATTCTCGGCCACCAGCTGCAGGATATGCTCGCGCTGCTGGAAGGCTGGCAGCGCGCGCCGGAAGGCGTCCAGCGGTCCGGCGCGGCCGCTCTGCTCCAGCAGCTCGCGGTCTATCTCCGGCACGCGCCGAAGCCCGTCCCGCTCCGGGTCGTAGCTGGCGACAGCGGCGCCACGGTCAGGAGTACGACACGGAGCACACGGAGCACACGGAGCACGAGCACAGCCGAACAACGGCGCGGTCAACCAGCGACGTCGCGCTCACCGGTGACTTTGCTACGTCTTGTCGTCTCAGTTCCTTAACAGCGGTCTTAACTGATCGCGTCTTCCGCACGAGGGGAAGACATGAGCTCGGGACAAGCTGTAACGCTGCCTACGGATGATGTGATGGACATGGCCGATGACCGATTATTGCAACCGACGGCACAATGTGCATCACAACAGAGAGCAGGCTGGGTGCAGTGCGGGAAAAGAGCAACTGTGGATTCACATGGTTGCTATCCTCACGCAGAGCTTCTATCAAGCACGACCGGTCGGTCACCTGAGGTTGTCCCAGTCGCGGTCCTGGTTGCCCAGGAGGTTGGCCAGGAACTCTTGCTTGAAGCTGCAGTTGGTGAGGTGCCGGTACTTGTCGGCCAGGCTGGGATCCAGTCGGCCGACGGCGGGGTCCTCTGGGGGTCCCGTCTGCTCGTCGGCCACCATCTCACAGTCCTCCTCCGGCTCGCGCTCATCCTCCACCGTTCCCCGCTCGGTCTTTACCGCCACGAAACCGGCGCCAGCCACCCCAGCAGGTTGCTGCTTCACTCTCTCCACCACCCCGGTGCCGCTGTCCGCTGTCTCAGGAGGGCACAAATCCCACCCGTTCCGTCAAACCAGGCGCATCGTCTACCATCTCGGCAGGTTCCCGCCTCAACCCTCTCATCATATCCAATCCAGTGCCGGCCACCTCAGACCTATCCTCCCCCACCCCATCTCGAGACGCACCGACCGCCCCGCCCTCCGCAGCCTCAGGAACCGCGGGAGACCGGCTGCCGTCAGCGTCCTCCGGCGCCGCGTCAGCATCCTCCATCTCCTCCGGCTCCTCCAGCGGCGCAAGCAGGCGTGGGTCGCCGTCGCCGCCCTCGTCGCCGTACACGTCCAGGAAGGAGGGCAGTGCCGGCCGGACGGCGGCCGGCTCCGGCTCCGACTTCAGCGCCGGCTCTGGCTTCAGCTCCGGCTCTGGCTTCAGCGCCGGCTCTGGCTTCAGCGTCGGCTCCGGCCCGACTCCGACCCAGTCCGCAGCCGGCGGGGCGGCCGGCGGTCGGTGGCCGGCCCGGTCCAGCACGGAGCGGATCCGCGTCTCCCGCTCCGGGTCAGACGTCAAGAGCTGACACTGCCGGCACGGGGGCGCGCTCTGTCGGCGTTAGACAGCGGGACAACTGGGGGGCCGCAGTCCGCCTGCGGTGTACTGGCGGGTCAAGATCCAGGCTACCGCGTGGGCTGGTGGGTCGTGGAGTATAAACCGGCGTCTAGGGCCACTTAGTAAGGCCGACCGCATGCTGTAGTGGCACACTGACAACTTCCAGAGAAGGTAAAACAAACAAACAGGGGTTGTTGCAAACAAACAGGGGTTGTTCAGGTTTATAATCACAGTCGATAAAATGTGTTACACTGATGTGAGGGTTGTGAATGTCACATCTCCTTAACTTTGACCAGGGTGATCCAGCTTCTGCTTTGTGAGTAGACAATCTGAGCTGGAGTGACCCAAGTTTTACTTTCAAGGCTCAGCATGCACTTTCCATTGGGTCAACATGCCACCTAACAAACAGACCTCAGGTCGTCACTCACGTGTTTATCCTTACGGCCGCCACGGCCGCCGCGTCCGCTCCTGATGGCCCTGTCCCTGTACCAGAGGCCGATGGCGCGGCCACGGAGGCCGGGCGGCGGCCGGTCGCCCTCTTGGTCCGCGTGGGAGGCGTCGTCCCTCGGCGGCGGACCGCGCGGTCCCGCCCAGCCGTGGTGGCGGCCGCCGCCGCGCCGGCCGCCGCCCCAGCCACCGCCGCCGCCGCCGCGCCGACCCCCGCGATCTGGCAGCAACACAGAATGGCTGTCTGAGAGGATGCACAATGGCCATTAGATGGGAAATGACAACAGCTATCTGCCAATAGTGAGCAGTGCTAACTACAGGGTCACCTTACCACACATAGGATTTACCCACCAAGCTGCAATGCAAACATATGTACAGATTGGGCTTTGCCAAAATGTATGGAGCCCAAATATTACCTCTGAGGGTTTTTGAGGTCACTTGTTTCATGTAACATCAACTGCACCAATCTTGACTGATTTTTATTGGTGGGGATGCAGTCCCAAAAATGTGTATCACATTATTACTACATGATTATGATTGATTAATAAATATGACTAATCAGCAAAAAACATTAAACAGTATGTCAGTTGATTTATGGTGTGACATCAGAAAGAGGCAAAGAAACAGAAAACAATGACTTAAATGTAAGTAAAGACAAATGCAGCTCTTCAATTCCAGCAAGTCATGTCAGTGCACTTACCATATCCTCTGCCCTCAACATGCCAAGGTCTTTCCATCCTGTCATCCTGGAGAAGCACATCAGATATATTGTCACTTCAGGGTTCATAACCATAATGTACATGTAGTTCCAACAACTTGGCATAATGGAAGCAGCTAGGCAGACCAACTCGGCCTGATATGATGCTAATGCAAGAGAAAAAGAGCTGGCTTGCCCTACAACTTCCCAGACATATTTGTATTTATGATACCAATGCAAGCTGCAGCCTGCAATGAAACTGTAGCCTATTAAAAGATCTAAGGACATCAATGTAGACCTAAATGTATGACGTGCCAGTCCTGGGTACGAGGCCTTTTTGGTTGCTTGTTTGCAATGAACACCTATGCCAACATTACATTTTCAGAACATTAGGAACCCTCTGCCCACTAGTTCCAATAAACTTGACCATACCCCCAACATTTCCCCAGCAATTATGTGCATCAAAAATCAAAATATATTACATGGGCTAGTTAACGGTACAAGCTTCTATTTATTCAGAGACAGGTAGTCATATGAAAGTTTTACACCTATCGCATTCAAAATGCTATCCCAGTTGAATTTCGTCTGCGAAAAATAATATATCATTTTTTTATTAATTTACATAATTTATCATAAAAATGTATCACGGCACAGTTGGACAAAATAGTTATATCTGTGTACATCAGGGACATCCCTCATGCGTGATATTTCATACAAGCAGAGCTAACCGAAGCAGCCCATCCCTACCGTTCACCACAATCTTCGCGGCATCAGGCGAGAACAGCAGCATCCAGCGGTTAGGTATTTTGTAACAGGTGCGTTATAAACGTCAACAACCTAACTATAGTGATATACAAAAGTTGTGAACTATCTGTTCTGTGTTTTGTACTTGTTCTTTTCGCTGCTAAAACGATGATTAATACTTAATAGCTTTAACAATTGTGTACCTCATCGATACCAGATGAACACAGGCACACCTATTTGTTTTTTTTTCTTTTGATAAAATCAAAGTTATTTGACAGATTGTAAGCTCAAGCTGCTGACCGGCAAACGCATACTGAAAGGCAACGACTGCTATATCAGGGAACTAGCCCAACGCTATTCGCGCCCTTTTGCCTCTGCATGCTATTTTGTGCAATTAAGGGGTCGCCGAGTGGTGGGAGGTGCGTGTTGGTACGTGTGGAGGACGTATGGTATGGTACCGTGCTGTTCGTTGCAATGTTGTTTGGTGTACTGTGACTTTGTTTAAACGGAAAATATTGCAATGCGAGTAAGGTGCCTGCTGCAGTAAAGTGATAGTGTTACTGTTGGCCTGCTCGTTGTGAGATAGCTTTTAGGTAAATTTTTATGACCGCATTTTTTTCAGCTCTGAAATTTGTCTCTGGTTTTGTCCTAGCATTGGTTTTCCCTGTTATTCAAAACATGCTATTCAGTTGTTGTCATACAGCAAAGTTCAATGCTGGGAAAAATAGGTGGCTGAGTTGAGAGGTGACTGGTTCAATGCAACATGAATACTAGTTCCTTGTATGGTGGATACTATGTATTCTGGGACTTAATTGTACTACTGTTGTGCCAGATGCTTCAAGGTTGTGTGGTGATGTGTACCACGCAACATTTTATGAATAGATAGTGGTGAT